AGATTGCAATACAAAAAGGATTATTGTTCAACCGAAGGTTTTTCTTTAGATTTTATAGGGAATAAAACTTAAATTTGAGCTTGAAGGACCAACCCAACATTGGGTCTCCTCAAGTTTAGTTCTTTATCTAATTGTATTCTATTTTAACCTGTTTTTGGACCTCTATTCACGGTTGATGATCTGATTTGATATATTAGTTTTTATTTGGTATTTTCTGATCTATCCTTAATGGGTATTCGGATGGCTGTTTGGTTCCTTATTAACTTGTTAAGTTTGTCTTTGTGTTTTGAAGTTGAGTTAAATATTGAGATTAAGGGACTAACCCAACATTGGGTTTCCTTTAAATCATTCAGTTTTTGATTCATTTTCTTGTATTTTTGTCTGTTTTGCTTATTGAGTAAATCGAAGATATTGAACTAATTTTCAATTTTGCTTCTGCTTGATTCGTCTTCCCAATATTGAGTGCTTGGAGATTGCTGTTGTCACTGCTCAGTTAGGGAGAGAAGATTTTCCTTCTTGAAGCTTTGTTGCTTATTCTGTTGAACGCTCACCCCTTGACTTCCGTTGTACATTGATCTACAACCATGTAAATGCTTGCCTGAGGATTTCGTAGGCTGCGTTTCTCCGGTTCAGATCTATAGAATTTTCATGCAGTGGATTTTTATGCCTTGACATTCATTAGGTTCTGGACGAAGTTTTAGAATCTGCTCATTACATTTTGTGTATGAAAGATAAAGTTAGATCTATTGAAGTCTTCTACTTTGATACCACCCAACACATTTACTATTTGGGAAAATGAAAGCTTAATCAGTTTAACCACTAAATAATAATAATAAATTGAGAACTCCTGGATTGAGTAATTGATAGCTTCTCACATAGCAGTAATCATAGGTGTCGAGTTTGAGGCTATCCCCCTCCCCTTTCCCCGGGCTGGGTTTCTAAGCCCCCTGCTAACCTGATTAAAAAATAATAATAATAAAAAATTAATAATAATAATAATAAAGTTTGAATTGATTGAAATTGGCATGGCTTGGTGATTGTGAGCATGATGAATGTCGAGATGGCCCATTGGCCTAGGTTTGCACGGAATATATGGATTCATGATGTTTAAAATGGATTGATTGCTTCTGGGCCGAGATTTTGAATTACTTATTGGACTTAAACTCATTTAGATTGCTTGGATTTTTTAGGTGAATTAAATAATAATAAAAATATAATTTTCTTCAAATCTTCAATTCTCGATTTTAAAGTATGTAATCGAATCATAAACGGAGAGGTTGGTATGTGTTCATCCTCTCTCATAACTGCACCTCAAGCCTCGATTTTGCATAAATTGTTTTATATGACTCGTTTTATTTTATTTTTATAATTCGGATGAATGATGAATGATGATTTTTAATTTTTTTAATTTAAATTTTAAGTGAGTTATTAATAAAAATTAAAATTAATTTTAA